CAGTGAGCAGACGAAATAATGACGAACGACATCGTAAGACTAACAATGACATGAAAGGAGTTAGGTAACTTCAAGCTCGTTGTGTCTAAACAAAGTACACAGTACTGGGTAGCCTGTCTTAGGCGGACCCGAAGAGTTGGTTGACAAGCAAGCGAGCAGCAGGGTATCGATCATACGAAAACAATCGAGTTATGTAGGTAAGGCTCAGAAAAACTCAGATATGTTTCATACACGCAAAATGACGCTCAGAACGAAAGAAGCCGAGGCAGAATGTTCGTCACTGAGACTGCAGTCCTACTTATTTTCCAGTATTTGAAGCGCCACAATTTCCGTTTCCACAGTAAAGCATGTGAAAACTGTGCGCATGTTCAGGTAGACGGTTTGATTATCAAATATGTGATACGGGACTCCATTAACCAAACATCCATAGTGCCTCGAAGCAGTGGCGAGTCTAGGTACAAAGCAAAGTGGTTAAACGTGACGAGAAACAACCCAACAGTACCTTTGGCATAATGGCGCAAGAGCCGTAAGGCCATCTCGGTGGAGACATAATCACAGCCATGAACACCAGCCAAAAGAAGGACGCGGATATGACCGGCAAGTTTGTGGATTGGTTTTGAGGATCCCCATAGAGCAGTACTAGCAGGCTTACGCAAACCTTTAGGTGCCAAGGCAATCTCCACACCAACAAGATCAGCCTTCAGATGATCTGTGGAGTAAGATATCTGTCCCAAGGTGATGAAATCGCCATATACAGAGGCTTTGATAGCAGCACGCACATCTGGTTCGGTGAAATAGGAGGGCAATCGATTCTTCGTGATATTGAAATCTAACTCGGGGGACCATTCAGAAGTCAAGTCTGGCCAAATCGTAAAATTTAACTGTTCAGAGTGCGTGTGCCGAACGAAGGGCAGTTCAGAAGCGTTGATCGTGATCCGCGCGGAAGCGAAGTAACTGAAAATGAGGGGAGTGGAAGACAGAAATAAGCTAGTTCAATTGCATGGAACTCGAAGAAATTGATTATATATATATATATATATATATATATATATATATATATATATATATATCAAGTCTACGAATAGACACAGAGCCATTAAAATCATGGAAATCACAGTAAGGTAAAGTTGCCGTGAAAAGAAAACCGAACACAACACGGAGGAATCCACGATTTCTTCGATGGGCGCGATAATACCCGGTTGCCTAAGCCGAGGTAGGGTGTTGACTTTGAGGACAGCACCACGAGAGGGGCGAATTCGGGAAATCACGCCCATTGTGAGCAGGTGATTGGCTGTTCAGTTCATATGTCTTTGTTTTGACCACTGACCAAACAGGAGCCCAATTCTTCACACAATTTCAGCATCACGTTGCTGGAATACAATGATCCACCAGAGTGAAGCGAGAGGCAGCGACTACATTTAGTGGCGAGTCACATCAGCCACGTCGCAGTGTTATCAAACAGACATTTGTGGCTTGCCAGGCGAAAACCCACCAAGTGCTTGGATACTGCCCCAGAGCCATTTGCTGGAACGGGATAAATCCGAACCACCTAGATGGTACCAAGTGAAGGCTGTTCGGCAAGTTAAAGAGAAGCAATCAGCTTGCAATAGCAGAGAAAATTCAAAGAACAATATGAATTAAATGCAGAGTAGTAGATCGTCACAGATATTAGGGAATCTGGCTTCGAGGTAAAGGAAGGAACGACACGAAAGGTGTGAGGCGGCAGTTTTTCTGATTTAGCTCAAGTATAAGTTACTTCAGTCAGCTGAGTGGACAGGGTGCCGTGGTTATATTTTCTTATTCACTCTACAAAAGATTGGTCCAGCTGATGTATCAGCACAATGTGGGTAAGTGCAATTCAACAAGTTTTACAATTAGTCATTAGGCGATCCGAGTGGATGACCGACGTCTTGTCCCTTCAACCGTAGATAACTGGCCAGCCTGCGTTGGGTTAGTTGTGTGGTTCTGCAATATGAGCAACTAGCAAAGACGCATCTAGACAAAGCGTACGCAGTTAAGAAAACAGAATAAGAAGGTGAGCGTACAGACAGAATTTGGTTATGGAGACGATGCGTGAAGTGGACTCAAAAAACGAGTCTACATGTTGACGGCCAACAACATATAACAGCGGCCATACAAAAAGGAATCTTCATGATGATGGCCTATCGCTTACAACAGCGGCCAAAACAAACCCAGCCAACATAATGACGGCTCATTTGCCCTTATTCCACGTTAGTCAGATGAGGAGTGCAAGTGCGGATGAAACCTTTCGTGTCACTACTCCGCATGGAAGCAGGTCCCCAGGAGACGGTTCCACGGATGGTCGTATAATTTTATTTAAACTGCTTGCTATGTCTACATTAATTCTTACGGTCTGCTTCCCACATTTTTATTACTTTTAGATAATTGAATACACAAAGCTTCTCTGGGACCTAAATTGTTAAATTCAAATCTTTTCCGTCACCCTAGTATGTCGTACATAAGGATCAGACAATGGGTTTTGTCTGTGTTCCGCACCGTCGAGAAATATACACTTTATTTAGTTATAACATGAGGCCAGACAATAATATGCAGCACAATGCGCGTTATTTTGTACAATAAATCGGGGTCACCGCCGGCCAGTGGCCTCGTACTCCTGAAGCCGTGGGTCCGAGTCTGTGTAGGGGACCGGGCGACTGGTTGTGGCTGCGCGGCAGCAAAGCATGGGTACTGGGTACCGGTGTACTGTTGGCACCATTTTTTGGGGTCGCCAAAATAATTAACGAGTATGGAAAAATAAATTGCCTCCGTCGACACAAACTGTTCATAAGGAGAACAAGAGAGAAATGAAAACCGCAGTGGCCCCATAGTGAAGGTTCAAAAATGCGAGTGGTTGAGGCAATATATGAATGAAATAAGTGCAAAGAAGCAGTAATGTTGCTCAGTCACGTTCAATGTCCGAACGGCTGTCAAATGTTATGGAAAACCTGTTAGTTTTTGTTCAAAGTCAATTATTCTAAGCTGGACGAGATTGCAAGTCGAATGACGATAGTTTACTATGTAATAATGTATGGAACTTGATAAACTGCAGCTGTTAGAATCAAAACACGGATGTTTTATTAGCAACAGCACGGCTTGTGTCGCCAGGGCAACAGAAAACACCAAAGGTTTGGTAGTAGTATATAATCAGACCAACAGGAGCACAAACACTAAAATCGCCATCAGGGTTGACAAGACACCAACCGTGATCAAGAACAAAATAGCCAAAAACCCCTGTAAAGTTAGATTTGTGAAGACGGTGAGTCGGAATCAGCAAATAAACATTTATGCAACCGTACATCAAACTAGCCGGCTGAGGAATAACTTCGGGGATGGTCTAACGTTGGTAGGTTGTTCATGAACGAGCAGGCATCTGACGAGAAATGAAGCGAAATGCGTTAAAAGTTATCGACAGTCGGAAAGTGTTGTGGCAGTCACTGGGCAAAAAGTCAGACACTTTACCAGTTTTCGCATGTAACACGTAGCATCCAGTTTTACGGTTGATCAATGTGTACTTACCCTGGCTTGGAAGCCCACAAGTGATAAACGCCTGAAAGTGGAAGCAGTCGCCAATATTCACCCAGGTCAAGGGTAGTGCGCACAACATGGGCGTTGTCTAACACATGAATGGAAGCATTACCGATGGATTTGTGCGTGTGTGCATCTAATACGAAGCCGCGCAAAGCACGATGCACCTGTAAAGGAAACAGTGCACACAGAAAAGCATTGAATTATGATACTACTAATTAAAGGGATGACCGTATAAATATACAGAAAAATTACTATGACGGTAGGCCCAATTGTGAATGGAAGCGCGGTAGTGATGATCGGATAAACCTGTTCGGATACACGCATGGTGCAGAAATGCCAGTGGAAGCAACCCCGGGAATATCTAAGGATAATAAATTACTGTTAGCCAGTTACGGTGAACAGAAGTGCTATACGTGTTACGCAACTTGGATAACTTTAGTGTCCAACCAAAATCGAACCCATAAAATGATTAAATGGGTTATAGATAAAACGATATTGACGTATTGCTAAACTTCTAGTTCTCTTACCATATCAATGGACGAACGTAGTGTATGCGGAAAACAGTGGATTGAGATCAACTGCTCTGTTCCGCAAGCTAAATAGTGCGGCTCGATAAGCAACCGGACTCATCGTTATCGATCGGATTCAGTGGTGATGCGCTGTTTGATCTAGCCTCAAGATCATCGATCTGAATAATGTGTAAAGACCTCTACCAGCCATTATTTCCTGATCCCCCTTAACACATCGAGAATGTTGACGCCACGCATCTCGATGTCTAAGAGAATCGATATGAACCGATGATCTCGAAGTAGACCATGGTATCCGCACCTGGCGACTCCACCCTATAAATGTTCACAGGCGCTATAATGCAGGCGGACATGTTTCCCTGGGAAGGCGAATCGGTGGAAGTCAGACTGGCTTCCAATGAGACTTCGGTTACCCGTTTACAACTGGGCATGCGGTGCAAGAATGCCGCCGGATGGCAGCTATCCATGTAGCATGACAAAACAACAAGTAGCACAATTTCTAAAGAGCGTGGAGGAGATATTTCCCTATTCTAACTATGGTTAGAACAATCCTAACTAACCCAACCACCATGATCATCGATCAACCGCTATCGATCACTGTATTGAACACCATCATAGCCAGAGCAGCGTTCGCATTTCGCATCATGGACTGTAGCCCAACTTGGTCAAATACATAGATTCTGGAAATGTGCCATTAGTTTAACACCGGGTTACAACAATGATGGTTTCTAAGAAACCCACTCATGACGCCATCAACACGGGTAAATAACGTCAAGACCGGCCTGTTCTGAAATAGGCTAAAATTATGCGGACGAAAAAACACATGACTCAAAACTGCCCCAATTGGATTAGTGGCTTTGTCAGATGTGTAGGTGGGAAATCCCTCCTTAGAAGGGCCAAGGGCCCAGATTCCGTGAGGATACAAACGCCTCAGCGTATGCCTCGTACTTTTCGTATGACTAAGTCAATACACCGACAGCTAGCAAAATCACTAGAAAATCACTAAAAATAGTTGCTGGTGCACATGGTAACCAACGGGCTATTCGGTTTGATAGGGGAAACTGACCGCAGAAGACCGAGTGTCAATGAAACTATATGCAATGAGAATGGACAGCCTATGCACAATTTGTCAGAATGCTAGAAGCGTCGGACTGAGCAGTTTGAAAAACAATTTAATCAGCCAGAACTACCAGATACGCAACCGGCCAGCGATCGACCTAATCTCTGGCCGATGACACTGCCATAATATGTGACAGTTTACAAACGCGCCAAGCAGCATTGGACAGATTAGCACTGGCTATCAACCGTTCCGGACTGAGCTTTGCACCCTCCAAATGCAAAGTCTCTCCAAGTTTTGCAGAGACCACTCACTACCCTGGTACTTGGTGGGGTCAGCAATTCAACCACTAACCAGCTGTAGCATGGGCTCTGGGAGAGAAGATGGATCACGAACTGTGTAGCAAAGGATCGTATTGCTTTTGCACATCTTCGCGACATCATTCTCGCTCTTCAGATTACAGCCTACAATTTGAAATAAATGCAAACACTTGTGCAACCCTCCTGTAGGTTGTGAAATATGGCACATCAGATAGAAATGTGTAAAGTATCTTGTTGCGTTCGACCCCTGATGCATTCACAACTCAGGTAACGTCCAGTGGGAACACCGTGTGAAAGTGTTCGGCCTCTTGTTCATGAGGAAATGGACTGATCAGTAGCACTGTGTGCCACATCAGACTTCGATGGTTTGGTATTGTGCTGTGCATTCCAACATCCAGTTCCTACGAGGTGCAATGTTTGCACAACAGGAGTCTGGATGGAAGGAGGCGAGCCCGACCGATGACTTGGTCAAACGGAATGAGAAAGTGTCACTTCTACCTTGGCCGGTTGGAACATTATCACTCGATGACTGCCCGAAAGACGATAAACACGTTTGGTTGGATACACTTGTTGACATGGCGAAGAACTGAATTCAATGGCGTCTGTGTTATGAGTTGCCCTATCCTGCCATATTCCACCTAGCCTCCCTCCACAAATATGATCTCGCTGTAAAAATACCTAAGACGAAATATAATACTTTCCATGTTTTTTGCATTTGACAACTACCTGATTGAACTGTGTTACGCCACACTAGCTTGGAGGTCGCTCATTCCTGGGTAATACAATGATAATTAAAAGGACGCAGGCTGTTGTGTGCTGCGGTTAAGCCACGTGGTTACCAAGTGAACCTCGTTACATCTATCCATTTCTCTGTGTGATATGCGCCCGCTAAGTAGTGGTTAATTTGCTCTTCCAGTCGCCGTTCATTTGCAGTTCGTTAAAGCCGCCAACTACAGTAGTGCTGGAGTAAAGGAGTCATCCAGTATCCGCTGTATCGGGTTATTTCTACGTAAAGGGTGCAAAGAAGCACGGAATGAAGTGCGGAGTACAGAGCTTGGAGCGAACAACGCCTAACATTAGGTTCAACACCATTAGGCAATCGAGGCAGTATGCATCCGATTTGCGGGCCGGCGGCCTTGATTCGAGGTGCATCCAGCAGCCAAAAATAGCGTCAGTGGTATCCCGAGGAGGTGCAAGGCAAGTATAAGCTGAAAATGCATATGGATAACTATAACTACCAGGTGATGTATAAAATGTGTATCAGACGCTGAGATGGAATCAAAACAATCACACAATTCCTCCGGCGGGGACTTCAAACTTGGTTGTGTGCTTTTGTCCCCTCTACAAAATTACTCATACGCAAGCTTTCGGCAATTTTTGCACTTGTTTTTGCTACGCTGTCCATACAATTTTCAGGGCCAATATGATCTATACACGCGATATTTTAAAATTCCTATGTGTTTCTACTCCAGTGAACGTCACGGTTTTTCACGGTCAAGCAGTAAAAAATAAACTGAAGCGGATTTACAAGAAGCACAAAAATTCTGCTAAAAATCATTATGATGGATGGAAGGTTGCTCTACGAAAGAAAAGATTGCGGAGTATGAGTATACCCATCATAATAAGCTCAAATGTCCGATCAGTTATGAGCAAAATGGATGAGATTAAAAGCAAAATTCGCTGTCGTGAATACTCGAAGCTTAGCGTAATTATGCTTCAAGAGACGTGGCTCCATGAAGATGTTGACGATGAGGTTGTAGCGATCGAGAGATTCATTTGCCATCGTGTCGACCGGTCAACTACATACAAGAGCCGCGGCGGAGGTGTCATCACTTATGTCAATCCTGTGTGGTGCACGTCAACAAAAAGTTGGTTTCGCTTTTCCTCTCCACGTATTAACTGTTTGATTTTGAAATGTAAACCAAGATGTTTAAGTGGCTACCAATCGATTTTGCTTGCAAATATCTACATTGCCCCCAGTTGTCCCGCCTCTGAGGCCGAGGAATTTTACGATCAGTTCACTTCAAGTGTCATCGACCACACTGATTCTTCCCTTTGCATCTTTGCTGGTGATTTTAACAGATTTGACACCACTTTTCTCACAGACCTTGGGCTGCAAAACGTTGTAAACTCCCCCACCAGACTTGAAGCAACTATAGACCTTATATTTGTTAACAATGCGAAGCTGTTTTTGTGTGCAATCAGGCACCAATTGGTTAGTTCTGAACACTAAAACATCAAGTTATCTGCTATCGTGTACAGCAACGTAAACCATAGCGATATCACTTGTTGTAAAAATCGCAGGCTAAAAAGAAAAGGTTAATCGGAGAACATATATCGCCTGCAGGAAATGATTTCATCCACAGATTTTAGCATAGTTTTCGAAAACAATGTATCTAAATACTTCGACCAGTTAACGAGCTACATCAACTTATGCTTTGGTATCTGCTGTCCACTGGGAACCATTTTCATCCGTGCGGATCGGTTTTCATCTCCATACCTAAAACGCTTGTGTAGACGCAAAGAGAAAGCGTTCAAAAGGAAATACCACGTTGCGGTGAAATCTTTTTCCATTACTATCAAAACTGACTTGCGCCGTCTAAATTACCTATATATCCAGACCATTTTGGAAATAGAAGGTGCCGGGATGTCTGGTGTATGCTGAAACAACTTACTGGAGTACCTAACCGAATGTCAAATCCAGATTTAGACCTGGGAGAACTGAACCGAAACTTCTGTTGCTTCAATGCTAAGTCTAACTCTAACTTACCCTTCATCTTCACGACTGGATCGGCCCACAATCTCTTTACCTGTCACTGACGGAAATACAGGGCGCAATAAAGTACTACAACTAAACCAACAAAGCAATTGGTCGGGACGGACTATCATCCGTGGACCTAAAAGTGTGCGCCCATTCCTTGGCAGAGCTTCTTGCTGACCTATACACCTTGTGCATAAAAGTGTAATATTTCTGACTGATAGAGAAGTGCCAGAATTAAACTGGTGTCAAAGAAAGGCTCAGATAAATACCAACCAATTTCCAGCACCTCGGTAAACTTGAAGACATTCGAGAAGACTATTCTTGAAAAGTTGCTGAGTCAGGCTGACTCAGAGGATCTGTTACAGTTTGCTTATCGTAGTTTGAGGTCTATTCAATATGCATTAGTCTATTTGGTACATTCAGTACTGTCGTCACAAGACAAGAAAATCAAATCCGCATGTATGTGTTTTCTCGATTACAGTAACGCTTTCGGCAGTGTAAACCGTACGCTTCTTTTGAGTGACTTGCACGATGTCGGAATTCAGCTCACTACTGTCCACCTTCTGAGGCTACTTCACGAGATGCCCAGTTTACTCGACTTGGAGGGAAAACTTCCTCGCCGCTCACCAGACACTGGCGTTCTTTTCAAGGGGCCATACTATTTCCATACCTCTTTTCCACCTACATCGCCTCTTTACCTGCTCTTGCCGATGCGGTATTGCTGAAATACGCAGACGACGTAGTCTTGAGTATGCAACAACCGACCGGAGCCTCATCAACTAAATTACAAGTCCATCTGAACAGCCTTGTGTTATGATCAAAAGTTTACTTTTTATAGTTAAATGCATCAAAATGCAATGTCATTTTCTCCCTACATAAAAGTCATGGTTATCAGCAATTTTTCATGGAATACCCCGAGCTTCACACAGATGGCAGGAATTTGCACTCCAGTGTCAGCGAAGTACCGAGGAGTATCACTCAGTGATCTTTCCTGGTCACTCCAAGTTAATGACGTTTTTACAAAGATGGAGGCTTTCGTTCTACGCCCTTCATTTGCGAACTTCCTCCGTCCTCTGCCACTTAATTCCGAGATCTATCACCGCATCTGTCTTACCCTCTTGGACCTACTGTTCCACTGTGATATTTCCTGGTTTTCTAAGGGAGCACTTCAAAATCCTAGGTAAGTCACTGATGGAATTATCTCGGTGTAGTGGAATACCTAAGCTGAGTGTGGAGATTCTTGTGTCCACTCACACCAATTTATGCACAAGGCTTGCTTCGAGAATACTTACCGATATAAATCACCCTCTTCAAGGCACAGTGTCTGAATGTGTAGCAATATCCACAACCAAACAAAAGTATAGACTCGTTTATGCCCGCATAAGGGTTTACTATTTATTCGTTATTCCATATCTCACACATTTTTTGTGCGACCAGACATCAATTGTCCTGGAGCTTATAAACGACTTTACATCAAAACCATACTGCTATTTATACCACTCACAACTCGACTTGTGTATTTACTGCCATAGTTGTTTTAGTATACTAAGTGTGTGCATAACAGTTGAATATTCACCCTTATGGGTACATAAAGCACTTGCTAGAGTTGAATTGAGATACTCGTTGTGTAAACGGTTTGCGACGTATAGACAATGTAGCAACACTGCGAGTGGACTATATCTAAGAGTAACCAATCGTATTCTTGGTAATACGCTGACAGTCCCCAAAGGACTGATTGTCAGCTAGATAAATCGAAAGTTTCAGAAAGGCGAAAGATAATGATAATGACCCCAAGAACGAACGAACCACGAACGAGAGTGAAGTTGGCAAAGAAAGAGAAAAGCAATTAAGAAGACGTTTTAGCAAGAGAAAAACAATGTACAGATTATCAATAAAAACCGAGCCAGGCAGCCTTTTGTGTAGCGTCTAAGAGGTGGTCATTTTTAGCACTTGCAACAGCAACCTCTTCTAAATGCGAGAAGAATGAGTTAACGATGACATTGTCTGTTCGCCTCCTGATATGCCTGCTAAAGAGACCTTGTCAGTCGACCAACAGGGTGTTTGGAACATAGGTTATGCTCGCTCGGAACGCCGATTATATGCAAACATATTGTGCACCGATGAAGTTCAGGAGATAAAATACCCGTGAACCACTGACCGCGGTAGTACGCACGGAATCAAGAAGGCTATGTGGGTTGTTACGCAACTTGAGTGATTCACTATCCCGGTTGTGTCGATAAGGAAAGGTATCGCAAGTGTCATTAGACATGTTACTTGAGAGAGATAAAAGCTGTCGTCATCAGACCGGCCTTCAGGCAATAATAGGAAATTTGTACACGATTGGAAGTTGACCCAGTCGTCGAATACAAAGGCTAACTGAATGGTTGTACACAATATCATTTTGCTCATCATCGGTAGCCAAATAAATTTTTGGCCTGGCTCTCAGTTGGCAAATCTAACCCCCAGCAGGTAAACTCATTCAGTTGATGATGCACTAACGGATCCAACTGATGCTGCTAAGTGGACATCCTGCCAGAATAAAAAAATGACGGTGGCGTTGCATATCGTGCGAATGCAGTGGACTGTCTTCTCAACACCGTTAGGCCATATGCAAAAGAATTGAATGGGTCAGACCTGTGAGAAAAAGTGCAATAATCCCCAAAATGATTCTGTGCATGAGGTGTTCCAATTGATGTCATGTGGTTGTAGAAGATTACAGATAGAATTTGGCAGCTAGCATCAAACAGGTCAGCAAAAATCCTCGATCAAATGAACGAATGTGCAAACACATACCTCTGAAATCAAAACCAGTAGAGCATATTTGTTCTCATCCCAGTATCTGACAATTTGATCCGCTTTGGGATACTTCACACATCCCAACTCCAGGGTGATCTCCATACATCCTGAGTGCACATAATTCCAATCCTGCATACCGCCGAACACGGGATACCAGCGATTGCCATTAACAATGCCACCGACGAAGGACTCGTTGTGACAAGCGACATGACCAGAGTGCATCCTCTTGTGAGCCTAGATGAAGGTTTTTAGAGGCAAAAACACACAAACCGTAAAATATGAATGCAAAAGCACAGAGAGAGCAGCCCGCAGTAACCTCATGCGGTTTTGCAAGAGCAAACGCGTAAGTTGCAGCTCAGGTGATGTGATACGAAGCGGTTGCGAAAAGACACTCAGCCGAAGAGTACAATTGGTGTGGAAAACCGTCCATGATGCTTGGACATTTGAGCATATCACTCACTTCCAAGATAACGATGCAAGGAGAGAAAGGATCATCTGAAGAGAAGCAGAGACAACAACAACAAGACAACAACTAAAAGGCGATGAGAATAAAAAATGAGGGAATTCAAACTCGTAAGAGATGCAGAAAACTGGTGGGCACACGACACGAGAACGACACATAAGGCATGCACATTGGATTCGGAAGCTAAAGATGGAAGGGATAATTTGGATTGAACATAAAATCTGAAACATATAGTGAAGATGTAGTTGTTCGTTATATCTAAGTATTCTAACACTGCGCACTCTGAAAGATCTTGTCTCCCATAGCACTCTTAGTCCAGGGTATTTTCAAGAAAACAGCTAGTACACAACTGCCCAATGCGATTCGTCCGTGATGTAGCACTCGCTAGGGAATCTATTCTATAGAGTCTTGAACAGAAACACGACTTACACCTTTGTCCGTGTTTAGGTGTCAATGCCAGCATACACATCATTCTACACGTTAGTTAAAAGTTAGAAACTTCTCGGTCGTTGGGGCGCAAGACAATTCAGTTAGAGAGCAATAAAAAATGCGAAATTAAAAATAGCAAAACGAAACAAGACTATTGCTATCATTATTAAGCGCTGTTCCAAAATTTGCGCACACGACGAGATCGAGGTTGAAGGGTCGGCTAAACCGAGGGAGGTAAAGGAACTCACAACACAAACGCTAATAAATTTCGCTCTTCCCAGTGTCAACATGCGTATACAACTAAATGACTTCATCGTCTTACAGACCACAACCAAGTAATCGAGAGACCCAAACCGCGGTGATCACTTGGGAGCGGCTCAGCGCCTTCCAAGTCGCGTCCGCTGAATGTATTTTCCATAGGTTTGTTAATGGTGAAGTTATAAAGGAAAGGTGACACCTGGAATCCCTGCCCCCACCTCTGGATATAGTGAAAGGTGGCGAAGGCTCGTCAAAAAGCACTCTTTTCTACTAGCGTGCACAAAGCGCTGATACTATTCACATATTTCGCGAGTATACCTTTGGTGAGAGGAAAAGCTCCCTGGAAAACAGTAATTTAATAGAAAACAAATTGAGCCAATGGTGTGCAATGGAAACATCAAGTGGTTTCAGGAACGTTCGCGTCCATGTGACGTGCGAATCAACCTGCCCACTAGCTGGCGAAACTGATCTACCAGTCAGGACAGCTGATCTAGCTGTTCTGCTATGTGTAACTTCCTTGATTGACGTACAAAAATGCCAGTTGATTTCAAGCTACTTGTACCCGTTTTGGTACCTGGTTCTGCAACAAGCTTTTGCCTCCAAGTTTTGCCTTCGGATTCTCGGCTGGGGTTCGGAACTGGCAGATAACGGATTCAGTTCAGCCGGAATCGCCGGACAGAGGAAGATCACAATACCTTTCATAACGAAACATTCTCAAGACGCACATCGACCCACCGGATCAAACACAACCTTTATATCGAGGAGCGTGACTAGACTGTGATGGTGCTCCAAAAATGACGTAGCCTCAATTTCGACAATACATAAGGGTATCTTCACAGGTGTGGCTTTCGTAGACATCAGTTCATTTGTGGAAAACCACTGAAAAAATAACAGAGACAATGAAGGTCACACCGATTTTTCTATGATAGTCGCATTCCGAACGAGGGCATTTCTTCAAGATCAACACAATAACGGAGCAGATCCAGTCAGTTGGGAAAGCTTCCAAATCCAACAGTTCAACTGATGAATCCAGAAGGTCCACAAGAGCTTGTCCCCCGAAGTTGAAGATGACTAGAGGAAACTTTTCCTACAACACACAATTTAAACAACGTAATCTCCCAGTCGAGTTCTGAGCAAGATGGTAGATACAAAGGATGACCCAGATATCAGGTCGATCACTGACAGGAAGGGTATATAATAGGTTCAACCGTTTAAATTGCTTTTCAAAGTACTCATCCTAACGTTTCGAGCGTTCTGACACGTTATTAGACTGCCTATTTTCATTGTATATTGTCTCATTAACACCAGATCTCCAGCTGTAAGTTTCCCCTATCAAACAGAATAACTCCCGATGGTTAACAAGTGCAGCGGCTATTCCTATCTTCAACGCGCGATGAGACCAACAAGCTCCGCAGTCTTTCTTCAGATTAGCACCAAATGTTTTTAGAATCCTGTTGGGTTTGCTTCTATCCGAAATGCGTCAACGAGCATCGATGAGTTCCAGAGGCTGCGAAAGAGACCCAGTACTCCGGTTAGCAACCGGATTCGCCATACGAAGACATGTCTGCTGCCAACAAAGTTCGGCCAGCATGAGACCAGTGGCCGTCAACTGTGTTCCCTGAGCGTTGACTGAGCTCGGATGCCAGCATACTTTGATACACACACAGAACGCCCAGCTTCGCCGGTTAGCCAGTGGCTGTGCGCGCACAGAGTAGTCGCGGACGTTCGCCGAAACGCACCGGCAGATCGGCACCTATAAAAGCGTGATCGAAGTCCAGGCTCGTGCTCCAAATCCATTGACAGGTTTGAACACGGTCTCTACAACAGTAACTGATCGCGACGTGATTGATTTGCATCCATGGCTGGTGGGCACCATGTCACACTTCTGCGCATGCTGTCGGAAGTTAGTTATCGCGATAAGTAGATGAGCATCTCCACATGAGTGTAGCAAACGCTCAGTCATTAACATCACTCTACAGAGCGTCAGCCGCCTCGAAACAGTGCATCCTTGCACAATTTTCCAACTTGAGGGTTCGGGTCACCAGCCAAGACAATAGTATCCACACATAAGTTGCGATGAAGGAGCCCGTTCATCTGGTGATAGAAGACATTTTCACTAAGCCAACGCTAAAATTTGTGTTGGCGTAGGTGGCAGCGGCAAAAGGTGCCTATTAGCCCGGTGTCACCCCGGAAACTTGAACGATGCAGCTAGTCGGATGGTGCATATTCGGTTATTGAATGGAAACCGGTCGACCAGGGTAGCTTCAGCCCGGTAGTTAAGAGCAATGCTAGCACTGGCCAGACTGGCATATGAAGTTCCGTTATTTCCGACTAAACGCAATGAGAAAGTTCCACCAGGGGATCGCAAAGTGAGCGAGAAGTTTGAATCCAGAAAGCGAAGTTCCGATGTGCAGCAGTTGTAGATCGATGAAGTCTTGAACGTCTGGTAAAGTGCTGTCAATTGACCGCTTTCTAACAAAGTGCGCAAGTTAATGCATGCGAGTCATAGCGAGGATCGAGGGTACCAAACTGAAGCTGTTGTTCGTTTAGTTGGGCCTGTGACAGCTCCCAAAGATTGACCGGGACCGCCTCCTGCGCTGACCCTTGGTGGGGATCAGCTAGAAGTCCTTCAAAGATTCAACTACCGAGGTAGTTGTATCAGCGCCGCTGGAATTGAAGACGAGGTCACGAACCGTACAGCAAAAGCTCCAGACCCATTTGCTAACCTTCGCCAACTATGGCATTGGCGCGACATCATGCTCTTCCTGAGCGATAGTGTACAATGCAGTCGTACGTTAGATCCTGCTGTACGGTTTTGAAACCTGGCCCATTAGATCAGCCGACATAAAGAGGCTAGTTACATTTGACCACCGTGTCTTTACAGTTTGGCTCACATTTGGTGGGAACACCGTGTGAGCAATGAGCGTGTTCGACGCTTCGTCTATGGCGTAGGAAGAAGAAGCGAACAACTCAGTACAGTTAAATCACGCACGAGGCACAGATAGCTCGGCCACATCTTGCGAATGCCAGCCTACCGACTGCCGCGACGTGCGTTTGCGCGCCAGGGGTGCGGCTGGGAGAAGAGGAGGGGTGGCCAAACGATGACTTGGTCAAGATGAGTGAAGACCCTTACTTTGACGATGGCCTCTGTTTGAGTCTCTCGGCTCCCTGGTTAAGTACCGAAAGACGATGAATACGTTTGGCTGGATACACTTGTTGACATGGCTAGGAGCCGACCTCAACGGTATTTGTATTATGAGTTTCTTTGCCCCCATCCTACCCGCTTAGCATCACCCTCCAACCACGACCTCATTTGTTAGGCTCCATAGCCGGATGTTATCTCTTCGGAACGATGTCCATCCGCTACTGGTGACTCATTGGGCATGTCTCTTTTGCATACTTTCTTTATTTTTCTTCAATATTTCGGCACAATAGCTGAGGTATTTTTCATCTGCAGCTAACGTGTATAATGCTGATGCTGAGTTGGGCCTGGACTTGTCAACAAAGGAGAAGTGATGCCCTGCGGCTGCGCGTGAGTTGAAACTAAAAGACAAACGCGTACCAAATCAAGGTAGGAGGCCTGAAATTGCGGAACGAAAATGAGGGATAAAAGTGAAGTATGATTAGGAAGAGAAAGCCCCGAAGACGGAATAAGAAGACGGAAAGGCCTGAGTAGTATCATTTACACCCCTATTCGCACCAATTGATGCCTACATCACAACGAGGCTGGGCTCTATCGCAGTGTAAGGTTCATGTGTTTCAATGATCTATTGAGCTGTACAGCGTAGTACTTTGTTCACCATCGATCACTTGTACCAGATTGGCCAATGATTGGAGGCCAGACAAATCGGGGTGGAAATGAGAGTGGCTTTGTTTCTTAGAACGGACTCCCAGTAGCCCACTGCCAAAATGCCGCTGCGTTACGGCCAATCCTTTGAAATTTGGTTGAGAAACTTAATCGTCCTCCTGTCTAGGCCTGGGCAACTTGACAGTATCCCGTCTACGCAATACAATGAACCATCTTCAAACAATTTGAGTGCCAAGATGAAATTTCCAACAAAACATAAACAAGGAAAAGCAGAAA